TCTCAATCTATAACTGTTGTTTTTTAACCACTAATGCGTGTATGCATTAAATTTTATCACAATTTACCCAATTTATAATGTAAAGACTATATGATAATGGAAGAAACAACATATCCTCTGTTTAGGAAAGAACAACATTTGAACATTTAAAATAATTGATCTTCAAATTGAAGGGTAATCTCTGTAGTGTAAAATTTATATGCTGGAAATAACCTGTCAATTTGAAGATTTTTTATGCAATTTTCTATCAACTAATTGCTCTTTATGCAATTATAGACCGTCTACAGCTCTCTAAGTAATTTATTTTTTGATCATTTTTTATCAAGTTGACTGTTTATTTTTTCTAAAACCGTAAAATCAATGTGTAAATTTCTAAACATTGTGAAATTATTAATATTTGTATAATTTACATGTGCTCCTTATATTAGATTTATTCTAATTTTGTTTTTTCTTTCAGATTTTGAATATGTCAATTCATTAAAAGTGTACGAACCTAAACAAATTGTGATCTACAAGCAGTTCAATGAAACTACTTCGCATCAAGTAAACATAGAGCATTTTGAATCATCTCGTTTTGGAATTTTCATCATGTTCAATTTTCGGAATTCTATTTCATCCTGTTGAGTATATATTTAACTTTTTCTTTATAATAGACTTTATCATTTTAGATCAATAATAGCTTATAATAATTTACTTGTTTAACTTGAACAAATTGAAAATTATGCGTTGTTTTAGCATTTTAATATCAGGGTTCACATACATTTAATGATAAGCTATCAATATGTCTGTTTATTGTATTTTAATAAATTAAGTATCGAATTATAGTTAGATATAGTGTTTGGAATTTGTATAATCTACCCCTTTGTTGTATTTAGGACTATGATTTTTGAACATGATTGATTGCAAGATGTTAGAATTGAAGTGTTATATCGAGCAAGTATATTTCATTAGGCTCGTTATAACCTTTCGATTTCAGGATCTCCTTTCAATGCATCCAACACTCAAATGATAATTTGTACCATTATTAATTGTACATAGCCATATTGACATTAAGGTAAATGCTTATCACTGAAAATTGAATGTTTGACTACTACAATAGAAATGTTACCTAGGTCCATAAATGTCTTTAATATTTACTAGCTTTATGAATTTAAAGAGTTTCTTTCAATCTCAATCTATAACTGTTGTTTTGTAACCACTAATGCAGGTATGCATTAAATTTTTTCACAATTTACCCAATTTATAATGTAAAGACTATATGATAATGGAAGAAACAACATATCCTCTGTTTTGGAAAGAACAACATTTGAACATTTAAAATAATTGATCTTCAAATTGAAGGGTTATCTCTGTAGTGTATAATTCATATGCTGGAAATAACCTGTCAATTTGAAGATTTTTTATGCAATTTTTTATCAACTAATTGCTCTTTATGCAATTATAGACCGTCTAAAGCTCTCTAAGTAATTTATTTTTTGATCATTTTTTATCAAGTTGACTGTTTATTTTTTCTAAAACCGTAAAATCAATGTGTAAATTTCTAAACATTGTGAAATTATTAATATTTGTATAATTTACATGTGCTCCTTATATTAGATTTATTCTAATTTTGTTTTTTCTTTCAGATTTTGAATATGTCAATTCATTAAAAGTGTACGAACCTAAACAAATTGTGATCTACAAGCAGTTCAATGAAACTACTTCGCATCAAGTAAACATAGAGCATTTTGAATCATCTCGTTTTAGAATTTTCATCATGTTCAATTTTCGGAATTCTATTTCATCCTGTTGAGTATATATTTAACTTTTTCTTTATAATAGACTTTATCATTTTAGATCAATAATAGCTTATAATAATTTACTTGTTTAACTTGAACAAATTGAAAATTATGCGTTGTTTTAGCATTTTAATATCAGGGTTCACATACATTTAATGATAAGCTATCAATATGTCTGTTTATTGTATTTTAATAAATTAAGTATCGAATTATAGTTAGATATAGTGTTTGGAATTTGTATAATCTACCCCTTTGTTGTATTTAGGACTATGATTTTTGAACATGATTGATTGCAAGATGTTAGAATTGAAGTGTTATATTGACATTAAGGTAAATGCTTATCACTGAAAATTGAATGTTTGACTACTAAAATTGAAATGTTACCTAGGTCCATAAATGTCTTTAATATTTACTAGCTTTATGAATTTAAAGAGTTTCTTTCAATCTCAATCTATAACTGTTGTTTTGTAACCACTAATGCGGGTATGCATTAAATTTTATCACAATTTACCCAATTTATAATGTAAAGACTATATGATAATGGAAGAAACAACATATCCTCTGTTTTGAAAAGAACAACATGTGTACAATTAAAATAATTGATCTTCAAATTAAAGGGTTATCTCTGTAGTGTATAATTCATATGCAGGAAATAATCTGTCAATTTGAAGATTTTGTATGCAAATTTCTATCAACTAATTGCTCTTTATGCAATTAAAGATCGTCTACAGCTCTCTAAGTAATTTATTTTTTGATAATTTTTTATCAAGTTGACTGTTTATTTTTTCTAAAACCGTAAAATCAATGTGTAAATTTCTAAACATTGTGAAATTATTAATATTTGTATAATTTACATGTGCTCCTTATATTAGATTTATTCTAATTTTGTTTTTTTTTTCAGATAATGAATATGTCAATTCATTACAAGTGTACGAACCTAAACAAATTGTGATCTACAAGCAGTTCAATGAAACTACTTCGCATCAAGTAAACATAGAGCATTTTGAATCATCTCGTTTTGGAATTTTCATCATGTTCAATTTTCGGAATTCTATTTCATCCTGTTGAGTATATATTTAACTTTTTCTTTATAATAGACTTTATCATTTTAGATCAATAATAGCTTATAATAATTTACTTGTTTAAATTGAACAAATTGAAAATTATGCGTTGTTTTAGCATTTTAATATCAGGGTTCACATACATTTAATGATAAGCTATCAATATGTCTGTTTATTGTATTTTAATAAATTAAGTATCGAATTATAGTTAGATATAGTGTTTGGAATTTGTATAATCGACCCCTTTGTTGTATTTAGGACTATGATATTTGAACATTATAGAATGAAAGATGTTAGAATTGAAGTGTTATATCGAGCCAGTATATTTCATTAGGCTCGTTATAACCTTTCGATTTCAGGATCTCCTTTCAATGCATCCAACACTCAAATGATAATTTGTACCATTATTAATTGTACATAGCCATATTGACATTAAGGTAAATGCTTATCACTGAAAATTGAATGTTTGACTACTAC